TAAGTTTCACTTTCCATTGCATGATATAGCCCAGCGCAACACCTTCGTCACACATGTTGCCACTTGTTTGTACCATTTTCAGGCGATTTGTAATCTGTTCTAGAAAAACAATGTGTTTTTGGATATTTGGGGAGTTAGGTGGTCCGCGAGTGTTTTTTTTATTGGTTAAGTGGTCCTTGGTATGAAAAAGTTTGAGAAACACTGTCCTAGATGAATACATTTGTATGTGATATTTGCAATTTAAAAATTAAATAAATATATTACCCCATAATATCATCAAAACTTACTTCACTTTGTGTAGTCCACAGGCTCAAATGTGTGGCTTCATTTGTCTTGTGCTTTGGGCTCAAAAGTGTGATCCAGTCTTCTAGAAATCATGTGTGCATGTGATGGAGGAATGCACAGTGCCTGTAGGGGGTGTGGTCTCAATAGCCATGCAGTAAGCAATGTGCTATGTAGATGTGATGGAGGAATGGCATGGATATTCAAGTGTACTTGAATGGCATCTGTTTGTTTTAGTCAAGATTATGCTAAAATATACTTTCCCCAACTATATTTAAGTTCCCTATGAAGAGCCAACCTTCAGTTTATTCCCATAAATTCCCGTTAAATCCCGTGGAAAGTTTCCATCTTTGAAAATTCCCGGAATTTTGCAACCCTAAAAGTAACTTAAGTACAGTTGGAGTAAACTTTATCACATTAGACTACTGGTCTCTCTATACACATCATCTTAACTCTGTATACAGGAATCTTATTTAATTGATTGTATGTAAAGTAAAAGTAGTATTTACATTACATTTATTTAGCCGATGCTTAAAGGTGGGGTAGGTAAGTTTGAGAAACCCACTCGAGATACACTTTTTGTTATATTCCATGGAATGCTCTTAACATCCTGATAGCAATGAATATCTGAAGTGCTTTGACAACAAATCCATAATAAATATCATCTGTGGAAGCTGTAGTACTGTAAAAAGCACGACCAATCATCTGAGCCGGCCCGGCTAAAATAACTGGATGGCCTACCTGCCTGTCAGCCTTCCATCGGGGCACAAACTTATCTCGTGCCCTCATTGGTCATGTGCGCGTTCGTGTGTGTTGGAGGAGGGGCTCTGTAAGGAAGTGGCAGATTTTTTCCGGTTGTGTATTTTCAAATTCTAGCGATCTCGAGCCGGTTTCTCAAACTTACCTACCCTACCTTTAAAGTGCATGTACTTCCTTATAACAGGAAATCCACACCTTGCAAGACTTAATAATTTATGACCATTTCAAATCAACTGTGGTTGGAATTCATCTTGGTGTGTAAATAAAATAAATCAATAGATTCAGTATCTTTAGCTGCAATGCATTGTGGTCCGTTTTCTGCTCCTGTTGTCATAGAAATGGGATGTAGGTCTGGTCTCAGAATAATGGCACATTTCCTAAACCTGATGTTATGCCCATTTGCTCAGATAGCAACATCTGCTCTTGAATTCATTTGTAGCTATTGTTGTTTGTTGTTGGTCCCACAAGAGGCCACACAATAAATGAGGGGATACTCTGATATATTTAAGGGGGGTTGTTTGTAATTTGAGATCCCGGTTGCCGGTTGGGGGGAAGGTGTGGCATGGAGCTGCTTTTACCTTTGTTTAGAGACACAGAGGGGGCTCTGTCCCACCACAATGGGGCTGAGAGACCAGCATGTGTCCTCTGTGTGTGTGTGTGTGTGTGTGTGTGTGTGTGTGTGTGTGTGTGTGTGTGTGTGTGTGTGTGTGTGTGTGTGTGTGTGTGTGTGTGTGTGTGTGTGTGTGTGTGCGCGTGTGCGTGTGTGTGTGTGTGTGTGTGTGTGTGTGTGTGTGTGTGGGAGGGGTGGAGTTGCAGCCACACCCATACTGATTGGCTGAGGCCACACCTCACTGTGGAATCCATTGCTGGGTCACATGTAGGCCTGCAACAGTCTCTCTGAAGAGGATAGAGAATACAGTCAGAACATGGATTAAAGCTCTTGTTAAAGTCACTGGATTTAACCTCAAGGCTTCTCTCAGCACTGGATTTGATATAAAGAAGGAATATCAGCTTTGTGACAATGTTGATTACCAAAGTCTGGAGTACAGTAAGTCATTTGTTTATTTTGCCATACTGAAGGAACTTTGGATGCTTTAAAACTAGAATTGCCCTCTAAGGCCAATTCAATGGTCCTGGTTTGTCCTATTTCCTGTTGAGAAACCGTTTGATGTTGGTGTTACGACTTCATTACCTTCAAGTCGTAAATGTGGAAACAACACGGATGCTACAAAGAAGATATTTTGTCGCTATTGCTCAGAGTGCTTTGATATCCGCTTCATAATTGTTGTCGCCTACTTAGGTGTGGTTCAAGGGAGTTTTCTCAGTACCAAGTTAGATTTGTCTGAAGATGCAACACAAATGATCTGCCTGGCAATGTACACGAAAGGTAGACATAGTTTGTGTATTGGAGGAGTAATATACTGAATGCTAAAGGTACTCTTTAATTGAATAATGTACGCAATCTACTAATCTGCCATTTGATTTGGACTTAATTCCCAGAGGCACGTGGTAGCAAAGGTGTTTACTGTATCTCCCACGATAAGCAGTGTTCTGAGTGCAGACAGGAAGTTCTTTTTTATATTTACTGTGAGAAAGACAGAAAAGCTGTGAAGACATTTCACCATCACTTCCTGTCTGTATCTTGCTCACACAGGAAGTCATGATCAGTAGTGAGTTTGCTGGATTGGTCAGTGTCACGTTGTGCTTCAGTGTGATTAGGTTTAGACACACATCCAGATATTTCTGCTGGTGTTTGTTCATGTCAGTTTCACAACATCAGCTCTTAGACGTCACTAAACTCAGAGGAAGTGCACATCTCACAGAGTCAGGTTTCTTTTTTAAAACCACATTTCTGAAAAAAAAAAAAGCTTCCACTGAAACGCTGCCTGTAACCACATTCACATCTGCAACAGCTGAGCTTGAAGAGGAAGAAAAAAAATCAGAAGGGAAGTCATCTGTTTTACAACTTCCACAAGACCAGAGCAGCAGTTTTTAACTGTAGGTCACGACCCTCGGTTTCAGTCTGTCTGCCGAGGAGAACACAAGACATAGACCTGATTTCATATCTCAGGTGTGAGGTTAGGTATGGCTTCCTAACCCTGCTATTGTCTTCGTGTTCCCCCCCCTTACTTTGGTGTTCTCGGTCAAAGGTCCTGTTTTAACTGCTATTACATTAACACAAAAACCATTAATCATCACCACATGTCATTGAACACCCTTTCAAACTGTACATTGTATCAGACTACTGGTAGACATTAACAACTGCAGTTAATATACAAAGAACAGACACTGAACATGTATTGCGTGTGCCAGGTGTGATCCATGTGGGGGGATGGGCACATAAAGGGGGGGGGGGACACATCTAGAGTGTGTGTGTGTGTGTTTTATCTGATCTGGATGGTTACTAATTCCTTTTCTTGATGGCGGTCATGTTTGACCTGGAACACCATGGGTGTTTCAAAGTTGACCAAATCATCCAAAATGCAATGAAAGTGTTGATCAGCAATTCTCTATGTTCAAATGTCTACTGTGAAGGATATCATGAAGCCTTAATGCAATGGAATGTAAAACAAAAAAGTAATGATTGATGAAAGTAGTAAATCGGTCAGATTTGACCCGAACACAACAGGAGGGTTAAAGAAAAAATGTAGTCAAAATATGGAAATTACACCATCATTCAAGTAATTCTGCAGCGTCAAATTTCCTCGATAAGCCACATATTCAAGTTGAACAGACGGATCTTGAACAGAAGATTTGATTTTCAGATCATTTAAATACTATTTTGGCTCTCCAGAAAGCTTGCTCTTCTTTACACTCTTCTTTACATGATATATTCTGTTGTTAATCAAAATGCTGGTCATTTTTTACAAACTCTATTCATAGTACAGAATATGTTCCCACGGCTAGAATCACCGCCTGATGACAATCTGTTTCAAAACCACAGGCAGATTGTAACAGTGTGTGGATTTTATAAAATAATCCTCACTTTCTTTGGATTCCTTTGATCCAGCAACTGTAATAATTGTTTGGGATTTTGGTTATTGTAGTTATGTAATAGTTGATTGCCTACCCTACACCCTCTTTATATATTATATTTAGCCTGAACGGGAAATACTGTACCGTTCTCAGTGTTCTGTATAAGTACAGAGACCCAAGCATCTAATACATTGTCAGTGTAAAGCACACATTGATTCTTTATGATAGAAATGATGGACATTGTTAACCTACCTCTTAACAATTCATTTTGCAATTAGCTAATTCTAAGACACAATCTTACATTGAATTTGGTCTGAAAAAGGAAGTGGACATGGAGGGAAAATGGAGACAGAAAAGGCAGAGAAGGGGTGTGTGCATTTCTAGAAGTGTGTGTGTGTTGAGTCCCTCTGCCTCGGCACTCCCCACCTCTCTCTCTCTCTCTCGCTCTTCATGCATGTGTGTCTCTCTCTCTCTCGGCTTCCAGAAAAGGGTGTGTCCGCCTGCCTGCACTGAAAGGGAGGGAGGGGTCAGTTCACGGCTACTCCTCCCTGCTCTCCCTCTCGCTCTCTGTTATTTCTCGTTCGCTCTCATTCCCTCACTGGCAGCCTCAGGATTAGGCCTTTTGTCTCTCTCTCTCTGTGCCTTTCATTTTCTATCTTTTTTTAAAAGCAGAATGTGTGTGTGTTTTTACCCCCCTCTTCTGGCAGATTTTTGAGAAGAAGGGTTTTCATTTAGCCATCTTTTAGCACAGAGGTAAAGCTTGTAGACTCTAGCATTTCCTGTCTCTCCTACCTGTCTTCAAACCCTTTAGCCTCCTTCCACCCTCTCCTCTGGCCTGGAAGTTTGGGCTTTTCTTCACATTGTTCTCACCCTTCCTTCTCCTGTTTTTCTCTGCCATGTTTTCCCCAACCCCCTCCTCTACCTTCTCCTTCCTCTGTGGATCATGGACCCCTCTCACCTTGTTTCTTCTTCTCCTCCTCTAGTGCCAGTCAACTCCTAAGCAGAAGAAGAGTGCCGCCGGCGGCCAGAGGAAGCAGAGGAGCCCGAGGAGCAACCTGAAGAAACAACAACCATCAGCATCACCACCGCCACCGGAGGAGGAGGAGGAGGAGGTCAAGCAGGAGGAAGAGGAGGAGCCGGCCACCAGGCCTCGGCCGCAAGAGGAGGAAGTGGGCGAGGAAGTGGCGACACGCTCTGTGAAGGCGGAGGAGGAAGAGGAGGAGGTGACAGTCATGCCCTCGGTACAGATCAAACCAGAGCCGGAGGAGATGGAGTGCACGGTGAGGAGGGGGAGGGATGTGATTGGCTGATAGATTAGAGGAGGGTGGACAGATAGATGGAGGAGGGTGTGGCTGATAAGACGTGTGTGATCATGTCAGGTTAAACACTGGACACTGGAGGAGGATTTATTTATGTGTGAGTGATGAAGCAGCAGGGTGATAAAATACAATACAGGAAGTCCATTCTGAGTGACAGATGTGTTTGATGCACTACAGTCACATCCATTAGATTAGATACACTTGATTTATTCCACATTGGGACTTGTTTGGTCACAGCAGCGTGTAAACAAGGCATTGCACATGCATTGAAATAGAAAACACAAAAAATACACTTCAAAATAGATAGATACTTTATTTAGATACATTATTTGGTCACAGCAGCATTTTGACTGTCAATGTACAATTATTTCAACATTTCTTAAATAAATATCTTAAATATCAGTGACAGAAACACAGTGTACTATATACATTAACATGTTGTGCACAGCAGCTTTTAGTTACAAGTAAAATACTTCCTGTGAGGTAGTGTATGTAGGCTACAACACAAGGAAATAAACATGAATAGAAAATATATAAACATGCCAACAGTGAACGTTATATATCTATTGAGTACGTCTTAATCGAATACACAACGTAAATATACAGAATAAGTGAGGAATGTGCACTTAATTAAACAATGAGAAATTGCATCAGGTTATATTTCTTTATGTCGGATGAACCCTTTAGTTGCAGTTCATTTGAATGAGGCGGGCTTTTCCCCGTGCAGCGTTGTGTGTGTGTGAACACAGCCAGACTGATCTGACACTGATCAGCTTTAAGTCGCTTAAGATGTCTGATGAACCTCCACACCCTGACCGTCCATGATCAACTCTGTTAAACACTTCTAGGCTTTAGAGAAGCATGAACACAGGTCTAGAAACTAACTGCACATAACAGTGGTCGTACTAATATACCATCAGCATCCGACATGGGATTACAATTATATTTTAAACACATCTTCAGGTCTTTCACATTCACAGCAGTGGGTAAAACATAAAATATTCTGATTTCAAAAAGGACAACAGAAGACAAAGTGGAACACCATACAGAAACAGAGCTTGCCGGTTATCATTAACTCTTGTGCAAATAGTACTCATATGTGACCTCATGCAACCCAGTGGACATCGCTTCTTGCCATTCATTCCAACTACGTTTAACTGTGCTCAAAATCACTCTCAATCAGAGAAGTTTAGACAGTAAATACGTCTGAAAAGGGCCTAAAAAAACAGGGTTTCTTTCTGACAATCTCTGCTGAAATAATGTGTGCATTAAGGCCTGGCATGATGAGCACAGTGTGCAGCTCTCCTCCTCTCTTAAGCCCCAAAGAAAAGGGCGTTGTCACATCTGATTGGCCGGGAGGGGAAATGCTAAGCTGCTCTCGATTCCTAATTAGCAGCAAACAGGTGATCTGAATCGGCTCCGATCAGCTCAGGGAACATGACGACGTTCAGCTGAAATGAATGCACAGGGAAATGCCTGAGATTAAAGCATTGCTATACTAAAGTTAAGATATTAACAGTGACCTCTTTTCCGTCTTTTAAATGTAAAACATTCTCAAAGTTGATGGTAGAATGTGAGTTGTGGCATTAACGGAGACCAAATACAGAGCAAATATCCCATACATGTGTTCTTTCAGAGCCCAGAGAGGAAATTGTCAAGCTATATACCATCAGTTGTTTTTTGTGAGTTGATATGAATGTAACTGAGTGTGGTAAATAGGCAGAAAACATGCTTCTCATATCAATGGCAGACTGATCAAATTAAACAAATCCAAATAATATTATATCAGACTTCATGCTATTTGCAAATACCGTTTCATTGTCGATACAAATGATATGATATTGTGAGGAAACCTGTGATTTACAGACTTCTTTGCATTGTCCAGTTAATTATTTCCCCCATTAATAATCTATCAAATGTGGGAAAAATAATGAAAAATGGATGCCGCCGTTTCCCGGAGCCGAGGATGATGTCTGTAAATAGGTCTGCTGGTCTGTTAGGCACACATTGGAGAAGCTAAAACAAGATAATAATGACTAGTTTGCTTGATCAATTATCAATCCATTAGACCCAATTTGAAGTTTGTACAATGGACAGACCAGTATTACATCTCTGGAAAGTGAAGGAGAGCCTTTGAGCAAAGCATTCAACCCCTCACAGCTACAGCTCGCTGGATGAATAAATGGATGAAACGTGAAACAGGGTACATAAAGATTACAGGTATTTAAAGATCATGTTGAGTCTTTTCTTGGAAAGTGAGGAAGCAGGAGGCACAGGTTGTCCTGACGATGGCTGCAAATGATAAATGGATGCATAAAAAACGTACAAAGTGATAAAAACACACTTTACAAATGTAATTGCAGCGTGTTGACATTTGCAGTTGTGCATTAGAAGCAGCGGAGATGACCTTTTGTTTGTTTTAATCCTGAGTGAGGGAGAGCATCAGGAGGACGAGTATGAAAGGAGCAGTGAGGCGGGTCAGAGGTCACAGCAGAGCCCTGACACTGTGGGTGTTTCTCAATCTCGAGGATATTGGCTTCCAAGCCAATATTTCAAGGATGCTACGTCATCGAGTGGCGCAGCAGGACCGTTCCAATGTCCAGCATACTTGGAATTCTACCGAGGCCTCGTCCTTGGTTTGGGGGAAATTTCGAGGCTGCACATGTGTAGACTCTGCGGTCTTAAAATCCCCACAATGCTTTGCGCACGGACCAATTTCCCCAAATCTGTGGCGGAAAATGTAAGGCGGGGCCTCTCATATGACGCACACCTGCACACTTGCTAGCCTGTTCCACTCTTCGTTTTCCGAATGCCAGGAAGGATTCTTGCCTCGCTTCTGAAGCAAGTGACTCGGAAGACACAGGAATAACACTTTATATAAGTTATTAAAGGGCGCATGTCATGCTTTTCTGGTTATTACCCGTCCCCTTGTGTGTTATGAAGCTTCTGCATGTAAACGGTCTGCAGAGTCACAAACCCTCAAAGTACACCCTGTAGCGAGTAAAACTCTAACACAGAGAAGACCTGTCTATGCTGCCCCAGAACGCCTCGTTGGACATTTCTCATTTTCCATAGTTTTGCTTCCTGGGTTCTGTGACGTGTGAACACCCAAATCAACAACAAATGACCGGATTGGCCCAAATGGACCAATCCGCGGAGCACCTCACACACCAGGATCCCTTGGCTAACTAACAGGGAGTCCCATTGACTTGCATAGAGCTCCCTGAACGCTGGTAATAGACGAGTTGGGATGGTGGAGAAATGCTCTCCGCAGACCCATTCTCACAGCGTTATAAACCTTTTTCTTACTCAGTATCAAGCCACACTTATTGTTTTTACTTCGACTGTGAGTGTTTGTATGTGCTCGGGATGAGTTTAGCTTGTTCTCGCTGTATCGCCGACCCGGAAACCTGTCCGCTCCTAGCAGCAACGAGCCTCGCAACGTCCCGACCAATCAGAGCACCCTGGGCTCACAGGGAGGGGGGGGGCAGGAGCTCCAACAAGGCGTTTAGGACAGAGAGTGAATACACATACTATACAGAGATGCTGTATGAGAAACCAATGTGAGTTTGGAACATTGAACAATATAAATCTATTCTAGTAGACCTCAACAATGGAAATATGATCAGTAGAAATGGCCATGACATGGGACCTTTAAGTCTACACTGCTTATATAGACCCATTGTGTTAGTCAACGTCGATATGTATACGTTCGTCATATCTTAGCTGGTTATTTTCAGTCTTTTTTTGGCAGATTTACTCAAAATTGCACATTTGCAGCCATTGCAGGTGCATTTTGGACTTATGGAAATGTGTGGATCTTTTTTAGTTATCTATTTTAATACCTTGCATTTTTTTTGACAGACACTTCTTTCTGGGGGAACTCACATAAAGTGCACCTAAGGACATTATTACATTACTGAATACTTCGTCTTGATAATGACATAATGTGCATGTTGTTGTTACCTGATGTTCCCAATAATTACTGATGCTCATACCAGCACATTCATAACTTAATCGTTGTTGTTGATTTGGGTTTGTCCATTATTAAAGGTGGGGTAGGTAAGTTTGAGAAACCGGCTCGAGATCGCTAGAATTTGAACATACACAACCGGAGAAAATCTGCCACTTCCTCACAGAGCCTCTCCTCCAACACACACGAACGCGCACATGACCAATGAGGGCACGAGATAAGTTTGTGCACAGATGGAAGGCTGACAGGCAGGTAGGCCATCCAGTTATTTTAGCCGGGCCGGCTCAGATGATTGGTCGTGCTTTTTACAGTACTACAGCTTCCACAGATGATATTTTTTTATGTATTTGTTGTCAAAGCATTTAATATATTCATTGCTATCGGGATGTTAAGAGCATTCCATGGAATATAACAACAAGTGTATCTCGAGCCGGTTTCTCAAACTTACCTACCCCACCTTTAAGAGGCCTGCGAATCACATTGATAATGATAGGAGGTTCCAGTCCTTTGTCTTACATTATATTTAATGTGGATTAGACCTATTAGAATTTTTAAATATCTATAATTAGACGTTGAGATTATCTTGTCTACCGCATGACTTCTGAAAGGCAAAAGGATGGGACATAATTACTCGTAACAGCCCATATTTGTGTTTGTCTTCCTGCTGGTTGCTGTTATTCATTGCGAGGGACACATTTATTATTAGTGATTATAATTCTGAATGAATGTAATCATAAGCAATAAAAGTTTTGGGAGTGTTTGTGTGTTGGATGGCAGGCGTGTTGCTACACCTTTTTGACGTTTCTGTAGCGTGAGTTTGATGGATGCCCGTGAACTCCAGGTTTAATTCGAGACAGATAAGGTTATAGAATAAAGAGAGTGAGAGGTAATGACAAGCCGAAGCCTGTCAGAGTCACATGCTCGCAGCGGCAACCATTAAAACCCAGCCTACATACTGAGGAAAGGGTGTGTCAGGCACAAAGAGAGG